GTATGTATATATATATATATATATATATAATTATTGCAAGTAATGCTCTCTGAACATGGAATTTTGGTCTGTTGTAATAAACCCCTTCCCAACAGACCCAGAGGAGACTTTGAAGTCTGGTTTCTTAGGAAGAACTTTTTTAATGGATACAATAATTATTCATTTCATGGTGTATAGTAGCAATGTTTATGCAGGTTTAGTTAAATTAGAAATAGCCTATTAAGTTTGTTTATTTGAGAGAGACAGGGGAGACAAGCGTGAAAGGTAGTGAGTAGGGGAGGGGGCAGAGAGGAGAATCCCAAGCAGGTTCTGTACCATCAGTGCACAGCCCAATATGGGGCTCAAGCTCGCGAGCAAACCGTGAGATGATGACCTGAGCTGAGGTTGGGCAGCTTAACACCGACTGAGCCACCCAGGGAATTTGCCCCAAAATAGTTTTGTTAGTTTTAAAGAATGGCTTTGTTAATAACTTTCTAATTACTTATAATGCAGTGGTTTGGGTCCACAATGATGCAAGAAATCATATTTTGCTATGATTTTTTTTGTTTTTTATGTAAAAAGCCAGGATCGGGAGTCTCTGAGCGATGAAAAGAATTTCCAATTAATTTTAAATCTCCGGGAAAAGGCTAACCTTTTCTTTACCCTCCAAAAATAGAATTCGTGGATTTCATTTATTGGAACTCTAATGTTTTACCATGTCACAAGTAAAGTGATATAAAGTTGATAAAAACATACCTGGCGTCTTTTTTAGAGAATGTATTCGAAACTTGCCAGGGGCCACTTCAATCCTGATACCAGCTTAGTTTCACTTTCAAGGCCTGATCTTGCTGAGTTTTTTCTGTTTGCCTTTATATTTTTCCTGTGACTGAGATGTGGACTACTGACACGCGGCTGCCAAAATTTCGAATTATCTGGTGTGATTTGACATACATCACGTATATGTCGGAAATGATGAAAATGCGTTTGTTAACATCATCCGTCACCTGGTGTGGATAACCGATAAAGAAAAAATTTGTTTTCACTTGTGATGAGAATTCTTGGGATCTATATACTTAACAGTTTTCTTCTGTATCGCCTTCTTGCGGGGCTGACTATAGTTGTCATGATGTATATCTACGTCACCAAATACTTACCACCTTCCTTGAGTTGACTTTGCCTTTTAGCCACCTTCGTCAATCCTCCTTACCCCATCCCCAGCCTCTGGTAGCCACAAGTCTGGTCTCTTTTCGATGCAGAGTTTCTTGTTTGTTTTTTTAATTCTCTGTCTTTGGGTAAGTAGGAGCATACAGCATTTGTCTTTCTCTCTGGCTGGCTTATTTCACTGAGCATAATGCCTCAAGGCCCATCCAGGTTGTTGCAAATGGCAGGGGTTTCTCCTTTTTTTTAACGAATGAATAAAATTCACTGTGTCTACAGGCTTCTTTACCTCCGTTTTTCCACTGGGACACTTCCGGTTCCCCATGTCTTGGCTTCGCCCCAAATGAGCACGTGTGTGGGGGTACCGAACATCTCTTCACGGTGTCTTCCTTTTGGCTATATTCCAGGGAGGCTGAGGTGTGGGGTTATATTGGTACTTCTGTTTTGAATTTTATGAGGAACATCAATAGTTTCCCAGTGATTGTACCAATTTACATTCCCTCCAACAGAATGGCCTGGTTAAGCTCTCTACCGTCCCTTGCCAGCATGCCTCTGAACCTCTCTTGATGCGCCGCCATTCTAACGAACATGAGGTGACTTCTCACTGTGGTTTTGACTTGCATTTCCCTGATGACTGGAAGGTAATGTTGGGCATTTTTCATGTACCTACGGTATTGGCCACTCCCTACATCTTCTTTGGAAAATGTCTATTCAGAACTCTTCGTCTATTTTTTTTTTTTTTCTGTTCAAGGTTGTGGGAGTTCTTTATATATTTTGGACTATTTACTTATCCAGATATGGTTTTGCAAATATTTTTTTCCCTGTGCATGGAGTTGCCTTTTCATTTTTTTAGCTGAATTTGGTGATGTCATCCTAGTGAACTAACTTTCTCATTATGTTGCCTGTACTTTAGGCATCATATCCAGAGAATCCTTGCCAAGACCATGTCAGGAACTTTTTCCCCCTGTGTTTTCTTCTGGCAGTTTTATGGTTTCTAATATTATATTTAGATTTTTAAATACTTTAAAAAAAATTTAGTTTATGGTGCCTGGATAGCTCAGTCGGTTGAAGGCGTCAACTCAGGTCATGATCTCGCTTGGTCCATGTGTTCGGGCTTACATCCGAGACTCTGGGCTGACCGCTCAGAACCTGGAACCTGTTCGGATTCTGTGTCTCCCTCTTTCTCTGACCCTCCCCTGCTCATGCTCTCTGTCTCTCTCTGTCTCAGAAATAAATAAGCGTTAAAAAAGAAATTAAAAATTTAGTTTCATTCTTTGTATGCTCCAATTTTCCCAGCTTCCTTATTGAAGAACTATCTTCTCTTCGTGATTGAACATTCTTAGCTTCCTTGTCAAAATTACTGACTCTACATATACTGGTTTATTTCTGGAGCTCTTCTCTTCCATTGGTCTATGTGTCTGTTTATATGCCATTTCCTTCTTCACGATTATACTGTATAACATAGCTTCGAATCAGGAAGTATGATGCCTCCTGCTTGGTTCCCTTTTCTTAGGATTGCTTTGGCATCTCTTGTGGTTCAAATACCTTTGGGCCAATCGGTCGTGGTTTGGTATAATAAGAATATACTCTTGACAGCTTGGAACCTGAAGCCTGCTTAGATCTCCTGTCTCTCTCTGCTCTCCCCCCACTCACTCTCAGCTCTCTCAAAATAATAAACATAAAAATTTAAATTTTAAAGCTATTTTTTTCTACTGCTGTTAAAAATGCCTTTGCAGGTCTTGGTAGGGATTACGTGAATCTATAGATGACTTTTGTTAGTATTGACATCTTAACAGTATTAATTTTCCAATCATGAATGTGGATATTTCTGGAAAATTTATCTTTTGTCTTCAGTTTCCTTCACCAGTCTCAGAAAAGCTCAGGGTCTTTCACCTCGGTTAAATTTATTCCTAAACAACTTTATTGTTTTTTTTTATGGTATTGTAAATGGATCATTTTCTTTTCTTTTCCTGACAATTCTTTGTTAGTGTATGTAACCCTATTGATTTTTTTGTATGTTATTTATATCCTGCTTTTACTGGATGTTGATGATGAGACCTATCAGTTTTTTTTGGTAGAAATGTTACATTTTCTATGTATAAAATCATATCATCAACTAGAACAATTTTACCTCTTCCTTTTGGCTTATCATGATACTTCAAAATTCTTTTTTCTTGCCTAATTGCTCTGGCTAAACCTTTCAGTATTATATGTTGAATAAAAATGGTGAGTGGGCATCTGATCTTAGAGAGAGGAAAAGTTTTCAATCTTTGACCCTTGATTATGACATTAGCTTGATAGCTTGTAATATATGTTGAGGTTGTTCCTTCTGTATCTAATTATTCAGAGTTTTTTTTATCATAGGGGTGCATGGGTAGCTCCAGTTAACGTCTGACTTCAGCTCAAATTCTTCATGGTTCATGAGTTTGAAACCTGCGTTGGGCTCTGTGTTCAGCTCAGAGCCTGGAGCCTGTTCAATTCCGTGTCTCCCCTCTGTCCCTCCCCACTTGTACTCTGTCTCTCTGCCTCTCTCTCAAAAAGTAAATAAACATTGAGAGTTTTATCATACAGATGGATGTAGAGAAATTTTGTCAAATGCTCTTTCTGTGTTTGCACTGAATGGTCAGATAATTTTTTTTTCTTTCATTCTATCAATGTGATGTATTTTCATGTTTTCTTATGTTTTTTCCTTATATTTGAACCATCACCCATCCCAGGGATAAATCCTAGCTGGCCACAGTGAATGATGCTTTTTTAATACTGAATTCAGTGTGACAGTATTTTATTGAATATTTTGTGCTTATATTTACTAGGGATACGGACCACTGTAATTTTCTGGTAGTGTCGTTTTTCTGGCTTCAGCATCAGTTTAAAGGCTTTGTTGACTATGCAAAAAATAAGCTTGAGGATGTTCCTCTAGCTTCAGTTTTTTTTAGGAAAAGAGTTTGAAGGATTGGCATTAATTGTTTTCAAATATTTGGCAAAGTTCAACAGTGAAGCTATCTGGTCTGGGCTTTTTCTTTGCTGGGAAGATTTTTTGGTTACTAAATCAACCTTACTGGTAATTGGTCTGTTCAGATTTCTATTTCTTCTTGAATTTGGTGTTTTGGTGGGTTGTGTGCTGGGGATTTCTCAATTTCTTCTAGTTTGTCCCCGTTTGATTGTATAGTGTATTCATATTAGCCTCTTTATGATCCTTATATTTCTGTGGTATTAGTTGTAATGTTTGTTTTTTCATTTATAATTTTGTTGATTTGGTTCCTCTTTTTTCCTTGGTTAGTCTAGCTAAAGATTTGTCTGATTTTATTTTTTTCAAAAGACCAACTCTTAGTTCAGTTAGTTATTTGAATTCTTTCTTGTTTTTTTAATGTGGGTGTTGTGCTATGAACTTCTTTCTTAGAATTCCTTTACCACATCCTTTAAAGTTTTGTTATACTCTATTTTCAACTATCTCAAATACTTTAAATTTCCCCTTTGATTTTTGATCCATTGATTTGTTCAGGAAGTGTGTTGTTCCGGCATGTGTTTGTAATTTTCTAGTATTTCTCCTGTTACTGATTCCTAGTTTCATATCACTGTGTTGAGAGAAGATACTTGGTATGATTTTTAATCTTTCGCCTTGAATTTGCTAGGACTTGTTTTTTGTGGCCTAACATGGTCTATTGCTAGAAAATGTTCCATGTGTGTGAACCTTAAGAAGAAGAATGTTTATTCTGCTCAGAATGTTCCTACTCATATGTTAGGTCAATATGTAATTATAGTGTTGATCAAATTTACTGTCTACTTGTGTTATCTGTTTGAATCATCTATCCACTGTTGAGAGTAGAGTATTAAGAATGATCTCAACTATTTTTGCTTCTTGCATATTTCTTCTTTTGCTCTGTTAGTTTTTGTTTTTGGGTACTCTGAAGTTGGGAGTGTAAATACAATTATTATGTAATACTATGGATTGACAACTTTATCATTATATAATGACCTTCCCTGTCTGTTTACCATTTTTTATTTTAATTTTTACAGTTTATTTTTTATTTTGAGAGAGAGGAGGAGAGACGGTGCAGTGCGGAAGGGTGAAAGAAAGGGAGGCGGTCAATCTCCTCAAGCGGGCTCCGCACTGTCCTAACGCAGAGCCCCAGCTTGGAGCTCAAACTCACCAACCATGAGATCTCTTCTGGCTGAAATCAGGAGTTGGACACTTAACCAACTAGTCCAGGCACTCATCTTGTTACCACTTTTTATATTTGAGTCTGTGTTACCTGTCTTTTGGTGGTGGTGTTACCATTTTGCTTGAACGCTGTCTTTTTCTGCGCCTTCACTCGGTCTGTGTGTGTGTGTCTTTTTTTAAGAATTTTTTAGTACATTATTTTAGGACAGAGACAGAGCATGAATGGGAGGGGGCAGAGAGAGGAGACCAGAATGTCAGGCTCAGGCTCTGAGCCATCCCGGCAGAGCCCGATGGGGAATGAACTCTAGTCCACCCGAGATGGAAGTGAGCTGCAAGTCGGACTGACTTAACAACCTGAACACCAGGCATGGCCCCAACCGTATTGACAAATGTGTGTCTTTAAGGGTAAGTGAGTTCCTACAGGCAACTTATGGGTGGATTGTGTCTTTTTATCCAGGCTGGCTATTTTGTGCTTTTGATTGGAGAATTTCTATTTACCTTAATTATTGATAGGTGGGCGTGCTGCTCTTTTGCCTAATTGTTTTCTGATTGTTTCAAAGAACTGCTGTTCCTTGTTTTTTATCCTGCTGTGCCTTTTTTTCTTGTGTTTATGTCTTTGGTATCAGTACACTCTTAAAAAATTTTTTTTTAATGTTCTTTTTTTTTTGAGAACAGAGTCTGAGGCTGGGGAGGAAGACGAGAAGAGAGGAGACCACAGAATCAAAATGTGAGAGAGACAGAGACAGCGTGAGTAGGGGAGGGGCAGAGAGAGGAGAGAGAGAATCCCAAGCAGGTTCTGTACCATCAGTGCACAGCCCAATATGGGGCTCAAACTCACGAAACCGTGAGATCGTGACCTGAGCCGCAACTGAGAGTTGGACGCTTAACCGACTGAGCCACCCGAGTGCCCCAGAAATAGTTTTGTTAGTTTAAAAAGAATGGCTTTGTTAATAACTTTCTAATTACTTATAATGCAGAAAATTAGTTTGGGTCCACAATGATGCAGAAATCATATTTTGCTTTATGATTTTTTGTTTTTATGTAAAAGCCCAGGATCAGGAAGTCTCTGAGTGATGAAAGAATTTCCAAATTGAATTTTAAATCTCCAGGAAAAGGCCTAACCTTTTCTTTACCTCAAAATGGTGAGTAGTTTCATTATTGAACTCTAATGTTTGCAAACTGTCACTCGTAAATGATATAAAGTTGATAAAAACATACAAGCGTCTTTTTAGAATGTAATTAGGCTGCCAGGGCCACTTCCAATCCTGACACCCGCTTAACCAAGTTTACTTTCAAGGCCTGATCTTGCTGAGTTTTTTCTGTTTGCCTTTATATTTTTTTCCTGTGTGACTGAGATGTGATTTACGACGCTGCCAAAATTTCAGGTATACGGTGTAACGATTTGACATACGTATATCGGGAAATGATCGCCAAAGTACGTTTTGTTAACATCCGTCACCTCGTGTGGATAACTGATAAAAAGAAAAAAAATTTGTTTTTCCTTGTGATGAGAATTCTTGGGATCTACTCTCTTAACAGTTTTCTTCTGTATCATATGGCAGGGCTGACTATAGTTGTCATGATGTATATCACGTCTTAGTACTTACCTTTCAACCGGAAGTTGACTGCCTTTTGACCACCTTCATCCAATCCTCCTTACCCCCATCCCCAGCCTCTGGTAGCCACAAGTCTGGTCTCTTTTTCGATGAGTTTCTTGTTTTGTTTTTAATTCTACGGGTAAGTAGGAGCATACAGCATTTGTCTTTCTCTCTGGCTGGCTTATTTCACTGAGCATAATGCCCTCAAGGCCCATCCAGGTTGTTACAAATGGCGGGGTTTCCTCCTTTTTAACGAATGAATAAAATTCCACTGTGTCTATTACCACAGCTTCTTTATCCGTTTTTCCACTGGACACTTCGGTTGTTCCCATGTCTTGGCTATTGCAAATGAGGCCGCAGTGAGCGTGGGGGCGCAGACATCTCTTCCACATAGTGTCTTCCTTTGGCTATATTCCCAGGAGCGGAATTGTGGGGTTATGTGGTACTTCTGTTTTGAATTTTATGAGGAACCTCCGTATGGTTTTCCCCAGTGATTGTACCAATTTACATTCCCTCCAACAGTGTACAAGGGTTCCGCTCTCTACCCGTCCTTGCCAGCATGTGTTACCTCTGGTCTCTTCGATGCTAGCCATTCTAACAGGTATGAGGTGACTTCTCACTGTGGTTTTGACTTGCATTTCCCTGATGATGAGTAATGTTGGGCATTTTTTCATGTACCTGTTGGCCACTCCTACATCTTCTTTGGAAATATGTCTATTCAGATGCTTCGTCTATTTTTTTTTTTCTGTTGAGTTGTAGGAGTTCTTTATATATTTTGGACTCGAAGCCCTTATCAGATATATGGTTTGCAAGTATTTTTTTTTCCTATTGCATAGGTTGCCTTTTCATTTTGTGCATTAGCTGAATTTGATGTCATCCTAGTGGTCTATTTCTCATTATGTTGCCTGTACTTTAGGCATCATATCCAAGAAGTCCTTGCCAAGACCCATGTCAAGGAACTTTTTCCCCTGTGTTTTCTTCTGGCAGTTTTATGGTTTCTAATATTATATTTAAATTTTTAAATAATTTTAAAAAATTTAGTTTATGGGGTGCCTGGATGGCTCAGTCGGTTGGGCGTCCGACTTCAGCTCAGGTCATGATCTCGCGGTCCATGTGTTCGAGCCCCGCATCGGGCTCTGGGCTGACAGCTCAGAGCCTGGAACCTGTTTCGGATTCTGTGTCTCCCTCTTTCTCTGACCCTCCCCTGCTCATGCTCTGTCTCTCTCTGTCTCAGAAATAAATAAACGTTAAAAAGAAATTAAAAATTTAGTTTCATTCTTTGTATGTAAATGTCCAATTTTCCCAGCACCACTTATTGAAGAGACTATCTTCTCTTCATTGAACATTCTTGGCTTCCTTGTCAAGTACTGACTCTACATACTGGTTTATTTCTGGGCTCTTGATTCTCTTCCATTGGTCTATGTGTCTGTTTATATGCCAGTACCATACTATTACGATTACTATACTGTATAGCATAGCTTCAGATCAGGAAGTATGATGCCTCCTGCTTAGTTTCCCTTTCTTGGGATTGCTTTGGCATCTCTTGTGGTTCCAAATACATTTTAGAGCTAATCATGGTCCGTGGGTTTGAGCCCCATGTCGGGCTCTCTGCTGACAGCTTGGAGCCTGAAGCCTGCTTCGGATTCCGTCTCCCTGTCTCTCTCTGCTCTCCCCCACTCATGCTCTGTCTCTCAAAATAATAAACATTAAAAAATTTAAATTTTAGAGCTATTTTTTTCTACTGCTGTTAAAAATGCCTTTGGAATCTTGGTAGGGATTGCATTGAATCTATAGATGACTTTTGGTAGTATTGACATCTTAACAGTATTAATTTTTCCAATCCATGAATGTGGGATACATTTCCATTTATCTTTGTCTTCAGTTTCCTTCACCAGTCTCAAAGTACTCAGAGGTCTTTCACCTCTCGGTTAAATTTATTCCTAAGTATTTTATTGTTTTTTATGGTATTGTAAATGGGATCATTTTCTTTCTTTTCCTGACAATTCATTGTTAGTGTATAGCAACCCTATTGATTTTTGTATGTTAATTTTATATCCTGCTACTTTACTGGATTCATTGATGAGACCTATCAGTTTTTTGGTAGAGTATTTAGGATTTTCTATGTATAAAATCATATCATCTGTAAATAGAGACAATTTTACCTCTTCCTTTTGTATCATGATACTTCAAAATTCTTTTTCTTGCCTAATTGCTCTGGCTAGTACCTTTCAGTATTATGTTGAATAAAAATGGTGAGAGTGGGCATCCTGATCTTAGAGGAAAAGTTTTCAATCTTTGACCCTTGATTATGACATTAACTGATGGCTTGTAATATATGTTGAGGTTCATTCCTTCTGTATCTAATTGTTCAGAGTTTTTATCATGGGGGTGCATGGGTGGCTCAGTTAAGCGTCTGACTTCAGCTCAGGTCACAATCTCATGGTTCATGAGTTCAAAACCTGCGTTGGGCTCTGTGTTCACAGCTCAGAGCCTGGAGCCTGCTTCGGATTCCGTGTCTCCCCCTCTCTGTCCCTCCCCGCTTGTACTCTGTCTCTCTGCCTCTCTCTCAAAAGTAAATAAACATTGAGTTTTTATCATGAATGGATGTAGAATTTTGTCAAATGCTCTTTCTGTGTTTACTGAGATGGTCAGATAATTTTTTTTCTTTCATTCTATCAATGTGATGTATCACATTTTCATGTTTTTTTCATATGTTTTTCATATGTTGAACCATCCTTGCATCCCAGGGATAAATCCTAGCTGGCCACGGTGAATGATGCTTTTAATGCGCTGAATTCAGTGTGACAGTATTTTATTGAATATTTTTGTGCTTATATTCATCAGGGATACGGACCTGTAATTTTCTGGTAGTGTCGTTTTCTGGCTTCAGCATCAGTTTAAGGCTGACTGTAAAATAAGCTTGGGGATGTTCCCTCCTCTTCAGTTTTTGGGAAGAGTTTGAGAAGGATTGGCATTAATTGTTTTTCAAATATTTGGCAAAGTTCAACAGTGAAGCTATCTGGTCCTGGGCTTTTCTTTGCTGGGAGATTTTTGGTTACTAATCAACCTTACTGGTAATTGGTCTGTTCAGATTTTCTATTTCTTCTTGAATTTGGTGTTGGTAGGTTGTATGTGCCTGAGAATTTCTCAATTTCTTCTAGTTTGTCCAATTTGTTGGTGTATAATTATTCATAGTAGCCTCTTATGATCCTTATATTTCTGTGGTATTAGTTGTAATGTTTGTTTTCATTTATAATTTTGTTGATTTGGTTCCTCTTTTTTCCTTGGTTAGTCTAGCTAAAGATTTGTCAATTTTATTTTTTCAAAGAACCAACTCTTAGTTCAGTTAGTTTATTTGAATTCTTTCTTGTTTTTTAATGTAGGTGTTTATTGCTATGAACTTCTTTCTTAGAATTCCTTTTGCCACATCCTTTAAGTTTTGGTATATTGTGTTTCTATTTTCAACTATCTCAAGATACTTTAAAATTTCCCCTTTGATTTTTTGATCCATTGGTTGTTCAGGAGAGTGTTAATTTCCATGTGTTTGTGAATTTTCTAGTATTTCTCCTGTTACTGATTCCTAGTTTCATATCACTGTGATCAGAGAAGATACTTGGTATGATTTTAATCTTCTTGAATTTGCTAGGACTTGTTTTGTGGCCTAACATATGGTCTGTGCTAGAAAATGTTCCATGTGTGCTTAAGAAGAATGTTTATTCTGCTGCTGTCAGAATGTTCTATAAATATCTGTTAGGTCCAATATGGTCTATAGTGTTGATCAAATTTGCTGTCTACTTATTGATTATCTGTTTGGATCATCTATCCACTGTTGAGAGTGGGGTATTAAAGTCTCCAACTATTTTTGTATTGCATATTTCTTCTTTTTGCTCTGTTAGTTTTTGTTTTATTTAGGTGCTCTGAAGTTGGGAGTGTAAATACAATTATTATGTCTTCTTGATGGATTGACAGCTTTATCATTATATAATGACCTTCCCTGTCCCTTGTTACCATTTTTATTTTAATTTTTTACAGTTTATTTTTTTATTTTGAGAGAGAGAGGGAGAGAGACAGTGCAAGCGGGGGAAGGGCAAAGAAAGGGAGACGGTCAATCTCAAGCAGGCTCCGCACTGTCTGCGCAGAGCCTGACTTGGAGCTCAAACTCACCAACCATGAGATCATGACCTGAGCTGAAATCAGGAGTTGGACACTTAACCAACTGAACTATCCAGGCACTCATCTTGTTACCACTTTTATATTTGAGTCTGTGTTACCTGTCTTTTTGGTGGTGGTGTTACCATTTGCTTGAACTGTCTTTTCTACGCCTTCACTCTCAGTCTGTGTGTGTGTCTTTTTTTTAAAAAAAATTTTTTTAACGTTTTATTTATTTTTGAGACAGAGACAGAGCATGAATGGGGGAGGGGCAGAGAGAGAGGGAGACCCAGAATCGGAAACAGGCTCCAGGCTCTGAGCCATCAGCCCAGAGCCCGATGCGGGGCTCGAACTCACAGACCACGAGATCGTGACCTGAGCTGAAGTCGGACGCT